GTAATTGACCACTAGCTGCACTATGCTCAGTGGGGTGAGACCAACCACTTAAACTCTCAGGTCTGCTTAACTGCAGCTGTGACCTTTAACTCATGGTTGAGCTACAGTATGTAGTTAGTCTTTTTGCATCAAAATTTAGTTCACACAGATTTATGAGAGAACATAGCTTGATAATTGTAATGCAAGCAAAAGAGATGGTGTAAAAGTACATTACATGTGGTGATGTTGCTGCCTTTGGTGCAGTTTTTACATATAGATTTGTTTTATTGTTGCTTAAAATAAGGCCTCCCTTATGAGCCAAAGCAGAACATTTATGCACAACAAAAAAGCAGTTCAAAAAGCAAAAAGAAATGGCTTTTATTACTGAAACTGAAGACACAGCCTGCAATATAGTGGAAAACAGCCAGTCAAAGCAACTGCTGCTTTGACTGGCCAACAATACAACGTAGGCAAACCCACTCTGCTTAAGTACAATTGATCAAGTCGCTCAATTGACCAGTTATGATGAGTTATACCTCAGACTTGGGCTATTTTGTATATCTACTGGGGATTTATGTCCAGTGCTGACTCAGAGTAGAGTTTTAAAGAAATTAAAACCATCTGCTTTTACTCACTGAGGGTCATTTCATGCTGCCTTAACACTGCGCATGCACTACCGTGCCCACTGTCCGGCGGTGGTGTCACGTCGCATCCCGTGTTAAGTCTCGAGGGATACCTAATGGAAGAGCAGGCATATAAAACGAATGCCTCGCCCCTCCCGCACTAAAGTGAGATACAGTCTGGCCCGACGCGCCTTTACTGCGTTTCATGGATGCTTCAGCAGTTCAGCATCCTCAGCCCTGCCCAGCTCAGCGGAGTTAACAGTGTGCCACGGGACCAGTCTGATTGCTCTCTCTTCTTCAGTAAGTGCATGTAGTCTTTCTTTAACACAACCGTTTTCAGTGACTGATATATCGGTTATATTGCCCGGGGCCGATGCGATGTCGCAGCTGGAGTATGAGCTTTGCGCAGTTTGTAAAATGTCCATGTTTTGACAATCCGCAGGCTGCGTGGCAAAGTGGTGTCGTGACGTTAGATGACGGGACTTTTTTTTTTTTTTTTGAAGCAACCAAATTTAAGTTCCAGAAGTGCTCCCTAAAAGACACGCAGTGAAGTCAGTCAACTGATGAATTGACACAATCGTTTTATATGCGACAATATAACATATCACAGGCGCAATATTGAACCGTGGTGAATGCATGTGCTCTGCATGTAAAGAATACATTTGGTAATTTATTTAATTTGCGTCCTCATGACTGGAGGTCATACTTGGACTATTCATCGTATCCAGTGCATCACTCCACAGCATGCCGGAAACAGGCTTAACTGTTACCATAGCAATAAGAGGGCTGGTCCGTGCTCCGGCCAGCTTCCAGGGACCACACCCTTCCCGGCTACATGGGATGCTAACATGGATGAGAGGAGCTGCTAAAGAACAGAAAAACAGTTTTTTTTTCTTTCAGTGGTTTGTGATGGTGCTTTAAGGCTGCACATTTGATTATCAGGACTAATTTAATTAAGTTTAACATAAATTGTAATCTCACTAATACTCTATAACAGATAGGAACATTATCGTGTTTTTACATTTTTGTAATGGGTTGCATGGTAATTAGTCTCATGTACTCTTTGTTCACTTCAGAATTACCATAGGCTACTCTACATATAGTATTAGCTACTAGAGTGTTGGAAAGCTGCCATGGCGAACAGAGGGCCCAGCTATGGATTGAGTAAAGAGGTGCAGGAGAAAATCGACCAGAAGTATGACCCAGACCTGGAGCAGAGGTTGGTGGACTGGATAGTGGCACAGTGTGGAGGAAACCTGGAGAAGCCGCAGCCAGGCAAACAGAACTTCCAGAAATGGCTAATGGATGGAACAGTGAGTAGCTGCTGGACCTGTACTTAAAATAGATGTTATCATTGAATTATTAAAGCTGTCTCATAATACATTTACCAGCTCTGTCAGATTTAGACACTGTGAATTTAAAAAAGGATCAAATAAACTACCAGAATTATATAGCTAGTCATTTAAAATGGTTTGAGGAAATAACAGTATATTGATCTAAATTTGCAGTAATTGGAATGTTTTATACCCTTGACATGGTCAATAAAATATATATTGATTGCAAAGTATCTGAAATTTGTGATTGGCTCCTCACCAAAAAGAAAATAGCACCAAAACAACTAATTAAAGCCCTGTTATAAAATGTACCCTGCATGGTGCTGTAATATCTACTCGCATGATGGGCCCGGTGACTCTAATGTTAAAAAGTAATTCATAGAAATCTATCACAGATGGGTAAGAGACATCCATTTGTAAGCTAGCAATTAACTCATCAGACAGAAATTAAATGTAGCCATAAGTATTCCTATTCATATTGTATTTTCATTACCAAAGTGATGCTTTTTTGTCAAATAGAAACACCGTCAGCTTATAAATAACTCCAAATGCATTTTTGTTCCTCTTCTCTAGAGATATTACAACAGGAAATGTCTTAAAATATTAGTTTAAAAAAGACACCTAAGAGTTTTGGTATGGTTAATGTATCGGTTTTATTTGAGCAAGCCAGTTTTCTGCCCCCTTTTCTCAGATCCTCTGTAGACTCATCAACGCCCTTTATCCAAGAGGGAAGGAGCCCATCAAGAAGATTCCAGATACGCAGATGGCCTTTAAACAAATGGAGAAGATTTCTCAGTTTCTTCAAGCAGCAGAAGCTTATGGAGTCACAACCACTGACATCTTTCAAACTGTGGACCTCTGGGAAGGTAAATGTGTCTAAACAGAGATGGTGCTTGCAGTTTTGCATCTTATATTTTGTGTTCCATTTATTGCTAGACTTACATATCTTAATTAATACCAGTTTTTGCAAGCAGCTGCCTTAATATGTGTAAAATAAAACTGTCCTGTTCCTCTGGCCGTAGGAAGGGACATGGCAGCAGTGCAAAGGACCCTAATGGCTCTGGGAAGTGTGGCTGTCACTAAGGATGATGGTCATTATAGAGGTGACCGTGACTGGTTCCACAGGTAAAGAGAAAGATAAATGTAACATAAGAGTATCATACTCTTCATAACTGCATGCCCTTTTTTTCTTTATCTTAGCTTTTAACTGTTTTATGTGTGTAGGAAAGCCCAGGGGCATCGACGAGAGTTCAGTGAAGAGCAGCTACGCCAAGGCCAGAGTTTAATCGGCCTCCAGATGGGCAGTAACCGCGGGGCTTCCCAAGCTGGTATGACAGGCTATGGTATGCACCGTCAGATCATGTAGACCACTTAGTACCTAACCTGCTCCTAATTCCTGACCTTATTTTCTACTAATATCGCAAATGTTGTAGCCACCAAACTTTCCTATCTGCTGTAGCACCTGCTATGTTAACCTCAACTTCCCTGGAACTGCTGCTTTTCCCAGACAGTGTTGTCTATTTAAAATGATGTCAATCTCCTTCTTCAAGCTCTCTCCTTAATCTTATTTTCCCTTTTGTCAGTGCTGTTCCTGCCCTGTGGTTGACTCTGTTTCCTTAGTCTCAATGTCCAAATGATTACTTAATGTGGACCTTAGTCATTCAACATCAATTTAGGCTAACAGAGAACTAAAGATTAAACTCTCTATACAAAACTAGCCAGTGTTACATACATTTGAAATCTGAAATACTACACTGTTACAGCATGTTGTATACTTTTGACTTGTATATATTGATTTTTTTAAATTTATTTATATTTATCATCTGTGGCTGTTTTAGGAGGGTCTGTTACTGTATAATTATTTAGCCTTAAACCTAATGGAACTCAATGGCCAATGTCTGCTGGATCTGCTGTGACCAAATCGACGCCGTGTTGTGCCTGATTATGGGACTACAGAGAGATGGGTCCTGATATACTGGCCTCTAGTTCTCAATGAGTTTCATTCCTTCTGAGCAATTTCTTTGTTATTTGTTACTGTAGATTACATTTTTGTCCATAATGTGTCCATTTTGTGTCAAAGAAGGTAAAATGCACAATCAAATGTCAGTGAAAGTTTCAATTCTGGTGCCAGATAAAGACATTGCCTGAATGTGTGCTGTTATATGTTGTCATGTTCATATTTTTAAATACATATATGTCCAGAGGCTTGTGAGAATATCATTATTATAAATAAAGTATGTGAACATATATTCGTGTCTGTTTAACACACAAGCTGAGTATACATACTGTAGTGAGAACTGGCAAGGTATAAAGTATATGCAGTGTTGGGTGTGTGCGTCTTTTTTTTCTTATCTTGGTTGTATGTTCCAGCTCCTCCCTTGAGCCTATCGCTCCTGTCTCTTCGTACTGTACACAGTGTAACAGGGACAGAAAGGGAAGCAGCATGGCAGAATGATCAAGCCTGTGTGCCAGCAAAACTTTGCCATGCTGAGTGAACTTGAGTGAAATATTAAACTACCTGCTCCAGTCACACAGTTTAATAGCTTATCTAACATTTGAAAAAAAAATGAAGAGGTTGTGCATCTGTTTCTTTTGCGTAGTTTTTTAAATGATCAGAATGCCTCCTTTGTCACAGGCATTCTAGTGATGTGGGCTTTGGACCACAAAAGGTCACATCTGATGTTGAGCTGGTTTATGGGGTCAGATATTACTGTTGGCATTTTAAACAGCACATATGAGAAAAGCATGCATGAATGAACATTTTAGTATTATTAGAGTCCAGTGATTAAACAGAGCCCATTAAAGTGCTCTAATTGTGTTGTAAGGTGTCTGTTTGTAAGGTTATTGTTTTTATTGCTTTATTAATAAGACATTCTGCCATGGAAATGTGGAGTGACAGCAAGTAATCATTTGCTTAATTGTAATGCCTTGATTTTCTTTTTACTGTATAAGAAGTTTCTTTCCGGTATATGAAATAAACTACATGACCTTTTGTACACCTAGTCCTCACATACACTTAGCCAGCTTCTTATTAGCCTCGGCCAGAGTGGTGATGCATCTAGAAGGGCACAGGTGATATCAATAAGTAAACCAAAAACATAGTCCAGTGAAAGGGCTTTGAGAGGATTGAGGTCATTCTTGTCCAAAGTTCTTGTCCAACCTCTGTTTTCTAGGACTAGTGTCTTAGGTGTCTCTTGATCCACTGTGCACTGTGTTTTCAAACAGTTTGAAGACTCACTGTTGCTCTTGTGCATTTGAGTATGACATTTGGTTATTAGGACAACTATGCTCTTGCTTGAACTTCTTCAAATCTAAAATTTATTTATTTATAATTGTGGGATATTCATTCCAGGAGACAGGTGCATCAAGGACAATGTTTCAGATGAGGTTTGGTGTGACCCTTGTGCTTCTTCTACTGGTATTCAGGGGTGTTGCACAGGAAGAAACCCAAGGTAAAGGCTGTGTTTGTGGATACCCTGGAATACCAGGGGACCCTGGGCACAATGGGTCTCCTGGCAGAGATGGGCGAGATGGACTAAGAGGTGACAAAGGTGATCAAGGTAAGTTTAGAAGGTGAAAGTTATTCTTGCCTTTCAGCACATTTTCTTATTTGTATTAAGTGTCATCTTTACAATTTAACATTATCATATATTAATAATTCTTGAAAGGTGAAGTTGGCCCTGTTGGACCAGCAGGCAATGATGGTCACAAGGGAAACAAAGGGGAACCTGGTATGTAGCTTCAGAATAAACTGCCCCACTAAAAAAATAAGGGATTTGTGTTAAAACATCAGCTGTATATTCATTATTTGTACATATTTTAACACAGTTTATTGTTATATTTATTGTAATTTTTCTGACTTTCTGGAATGAGTACAAACAGAATATTAAACATTAAATATAAAAGGATGTGTGGCTGGGTCAGGAGGTAGAACAGATCCCTAAATGGGGGGTTGGTGGTTCGATTCCTGCCATCTCCAGTCCACCTGCCTCAAGTGTTCTTGAGCAAGACAGTGAAACACTAGTTGCTCCCAGTGATGTCACTGGTGTTTGTGTGGGTGAATTGGAAATAGTATAAAGTGCTTTGAGTGCACATCAGTGCATAGAAAAGCGCTCTATAAGTACAAGGCCATTTATTTTCTGGTTGTCATTTACAGGTGCAGTTGGCCCAGCAGGGCTCAAAGGAAAAAGGGGAGATAATGGAGAACGGGGGCCCCCTGGGAAAATGGGGCCTCAAGGAGTCCAAGGGCCCATGGGTTTGAAAGGAAATAAGGGAGAGCTCGGGCTGCCTGGACCCCAGGGTCTCAAAGGGGATTTGGGGCCTCCTGGGCCAGAGGGTCCAAAGGGGGAAATTGGCCTTCAAGGTGACAGAGGCATTCAGGGACCACTGGGAGTCCCTGGAAGGCCAGGCCCCAAGGGGGAAATTGGTGTTCCAGGTCACAAAGGCAGCATTGGATATCGTGGGGACAAGGGAGCCCGAGGAGAGACGGGAGAGAAGGGTGAAAAGGGCGATGCACTTGTTATTCCTAAAAGCGCCTTCTCTGTGGGCCTCACAGCACAAACTAAACTCCCATTAGCCAACATGCCGATCCGGTTTGACAAGATTATTTACAACCAACAAAATCACTATGACCTACAAACAGGAAGATTCACCTGCTCTGTGGCAGGAGCCTATTTCTTTACTTACTACATCACTGTCTTCTCCAGAAATGTTAAAGTGGTTCTCATGAAGAATGGGGAAAAGATCATTCACACCATGGATAACTACCAGAACAGTGAGGACCAAGCAGCAGGGGGTGCTGTGCTGCACCTGAACGTGGGGGATAAGGTGTGGCTGCAGGTAGTTGGAGGAGAGCTCTTCAATGGGCTTTTTGCTGATGAAGATGATGACACCACCTTCTCTGGATTCTTAATCTTTGGGGCTTGATTACTTTATTATGGCTTGTATTAGAAACAGTAAGATAATTTAAATAATAGAAATCAGTCAGCAGAGATCAGCCTGCCTCTAAATTTTAGCTGATCCTATGTTAGACTGTGCAGTGGTGACATTTTCTGAAGTGCAGCACAAATTTGAAGTACTTTACTTGAGTATTTCATTATGATTGTATATGCAAATCATAACAGATTATATAAAAAACTATTCCTTGTCATAGATTAAAGTAGTTCAAAGCTGTTCAGTCTCTTTACACATTGATGCTTTAGTGACAGTATCCCAATAAGGACATTTAGACAGTAATACAACACTCAGAGGAAAAAAATTTTTCTGCTTTATGCGTAGTTTTCTTTTTGATCCTTTAAGTACATTTTCCTGATAATACCTTCTATGGTTTTACTTTAGCGATATTGGAATGCAGGACCTTTATTTAAGTCTTGTACACCTTTGTACTTATACTTTAATTAAAAATATCAAAATTTTCTCCCACTACTTGCATCATTGTGTGTTCATTATGTGGTTAATCAGTCAAAGTTTTTTCAGGAGACCTCGACCATGTAATGAATGAATGAATAAATAAATATTTTTAAACCTCTGCCTTCTCTTTTTCTTCTTGCCTGATTGATGTTTGACAATGCAAAACAACATTCTCCAAGCCATCCTGTTTTGTCCTATGGTATTTGGGAACGGCCATGCATAACAGAAATAATCTGTCTTTGTATGGTGCGCTCACATGACACGTGGAAGACTGTGCAACGGAAACTGGAAGGTCCAGTATATTTCTTTCTTACTAAGAGCGCAGGAAGTGGTGAGTAGCATTGGCTTTTTTTAATTTTTGATTTCAATGAAGTGTGCTCCATTGTGGGCGTGTACTGACTTTTGATTGGCTGTAAGAGGATTGCTAGGCTGTGGTCAACCAGTAACTTCGATCGTATCCACTCAAAGCCACGCCCCTTTGCAAATACTGCAACAAGTGCACTGAAGATGCTAACCAGCTTGGTCTTCAAAGAAATACATGTTTTAATTGGAAACCTGCGGTATTATGCGCTTTTTTCCCCCGGCACCATTGGAAGATACTACATGATTGAGAGCTTACTCAATGTTGCTGCTTGACTCCCAACAGGTTTAGCCGGTTATCGAATGTGAAATTAAAAACCGCAAAGCTTGCGCAATTTAGTAGAAGTTTATTAGTGAGCTAGCTCAAGTTGCTAGCCAAGTATGTTGAAGGGGTTAGCCAGACATTTGTCAGAAATGCTGCAGGGTAAGTAGTTATTAGAAGCGCTTCTGTTTTGTACTTTGCCAGACATGTTTTTGTGAGAGGATCACGATTCGTTTGACCTCAGAGAAACCAGACGACTTCACCATGACTACACAGCAGAAACCTCAGCTGTGCTGATGTAAGAACAACAGGTCAGGAGGACAACATCAGCGACTATGAGCAAGGTGGGCAAAAGCTTTGGAGTTTAGCATACAGCCAAAATAAGTGGTAACACAATTCATCTAAATTATGTAGTGTTATTCGGGAGTCACATTACAGTTGCACTGATTTCCCCCCTGTGCTCTTGGTTAAAATGGGACCAGAGGGGGTTATCGTCGTGCATTACAGCCGTGGTTGTTATAGTGATGTGGGAGATGCCAGTGTGTGCAGAAGGGGTTGGGAGGCCTGCAGCTACAAAGAACTTTTAGCTGAAGAAAGTTAATTAATGCAGAAATAAATAAGTAGTTTGGCCCAGCTCCTTGTTTTCAGGGACTGTTTCCTTAGCAGCTACATTTCTTCTGTAGTCACCAGCCCCGTTTACTCCCAAGTAATTAATTTGTTTTCATGGATTCCCAAATAGACTTTAATGCTAGAGATAAGTGTGGTGTCATTCAATGTTGGATTCTACTATAATAAACAATTACAATAGGCTGTACTTTTACAATAGGCTACTCTTTCTTTCATACACAGTTGTGTTTTTGTCTATGGGACACTAAATATAACTCCTAGAGCTTTGTTTCTGTATATGACTTAGTTATGCACTTCAGTCTACAGAATAAGCAAAGAAATCTAACTCCAACCAGCTATTGTAGCTGTGATGTCAGTCAATTGAAAAGAGACATTTACATAAAGAAAATGTTGTGCTCGTGATTAAAAAATGCTTTAAGATGTGCAGTATACACTTTCTTGTGTATACACAAACTGATGGAATGATTGTCTGAGTCCCACACTCATAATTGAATGATGATAGAGAAGCCCTTTGATTATTGTTGTACTGCAGTCAGGTTACACTGTTGACTGTTGACAAGGAAGCTTTATACTGTTTTGTCCTCGCTAAGCTTTGTGCACTGTGTGGTGTTAAATTTCTGGTTGTCTGTCTCGCTGGCAGTCCAGTACAGATCAGGTGAGTAAGTGGCTGCCTGTGTCTGAGTGGTGACACTACCTGGTTTGGCCTGTACCTCTACAGTACTTCCCACGCCCTATAGAAAATGTGCTTCTTTCTGCCAGATAAAAAAAAAAAAAAGAGTAACTAGGTCATGGCTAAATATGAGACTTTAACCCGGAAACTGAACCACTGTATGCTTACTTGATGATATAGACAGGTCAGGTTGCAGCGCAGGATATTCTGTACAAACCAGTGCCTTTAAGACTAATAAAAATAATAGGCTGCTAATCATTTGTGATTTTACTTTGGCCTTAGAAGAGATGGTGTATTCCTTATGGATGCTGTTTGGGAACTTTTAGCTTTTTTCTCTTAATTTAACTTAACTTAATTGTCTCTTTTAGCTTTTGTCTCCAC